TATATATATATATATATATATATATATATATATATATATATATATATATATATGTTGATATCAATATCAATAATACTAAAAGATAACATTGATAATTATAATAAAGATAAAAACAATGACAAGGCCTTTATGAATAGTGGTAATACACGTTTGTGACTTTAAAGATGACAAATGAAAATTGCTTCTTCTTGCCAACTAAAACAATAACTTAGTTGTTAAATAATTATGGAACTTTTATTTAATGCTTTAATTAATAAAAAAAACATTTAAAAATTAATTAAAATAAATACCTAACCAAGGGTAGCAAAACATAGTTGGAAAAACTTATAAAACACAACTAATCGCACTTAAATTTTGTAATTTACAGTCTGTTTTTTTAACAATATCCGTATTCTTTTAAAGATAAATTAAAATATATGTCACATTTTATAAAAACGAATCAAATCAGTATTACACATAATACATAAAATACTGTTAGGTTTTGACTAATTAAAAGTAACAAGTGTATTTTCCAATAATTTATGCCACCATCAGAATTAATAACAAATCAATATATATATATATATATATATATATATGGGCACGTTCAAATGAAAACCGTACATTTATAAGAAATCGTGTAAATTAATTTCGATCAATAGGAAAATTCTTTTTTTTTTCCTAATTAAATAATCAATAAGGGTATTTCGGTCATTTACAATATTTTCTATTAAATATGGAAGTTATTAATAAATCTTAATTAAGGAAATGTAATAAAGAAAATTGTATAAATGGTAACATTTAAATATTTAATTATATTAAAATATTAAAAATTTGGATTTCATATATTGTCATGAGTTATAATCAGGAAACGTGTCTTGATGAAACAATTGAATTATAGAATGAAATCATCAAAACGTAGATGAACAAAAAAAATCCACAAAATGAAACAGGTTTCATGAACGTGAAACCGATTCATGTTGCAAAGAAATTAGGTGAACCGAAACATTTTTATGGTAAACCCATTGCATTGATGGTGTAGTTAATTCTTTTTTTATGAGAAGCAAAATGAAACCGGTACATTTTGAAAAAAATTATGAAAAGGAAAATGAAACAGGTTTCATGAACCGTGAAACCGGTTCATGTTGCAAATAAATTAGGTGAACAAAAACATTTTTATGGTAAAACTGTTGCATTGATGGTGTAGTTGATCCATTTTGTTA